TATATGAAAATTGTATCAAAAGTGATTAAAATGTTATTACTGGCCTTGCCCTTATACTGTTCCAATTGTAACCCAAATCAAGTGATGACAACAATTATTCAAAGTTGATATTGTGCCACCATTTTCACATACACTTTCACCTGACATCAACAACATTATTATCATTTATTATAAAGATTATCTTTTAATAATCAGTATAATAGTAATCATATATAATAGCAATCAACTACTACTAGTCCTTACTTTCATTACTTTCTTCCTCCTCATCATCAGTGCCGTCATTATCATCAATAACAAGCCCAACGCCGAGAAACAAATAAACAACATCAAACCTTATTCACTTTACATTTTTTTCCGTATCACAGTTAAAATTGACCGGCCGAACTTGATGTACTCAACACTCGTTTTCATCGAGAAATACATTCCTCATCCTCACGCCTCTCTCCTATTCTCACTCTTCTCATCCATCTTCTTCCGCCGCTCTCAATCTTCATCATTTTCCTCTCTTCCTCGCTAAACCTCATCATCAACATCACTAAACGAGGGAAACAAGAAAGTGAAAAATATTCTTCTTTTTTTGCCGTCAAATCATACATCAGACTAAATTAAACTACGTTACTACATGTATTACTAACTTTCAATTCATTTGTGCAAGTTTCCGGAAAAGTACTCACTACCAACTTATTTACTAACTGAATTAGCTTAAGCATAAATCTGTAAACTTCCTCTTTCTTTCTCTCTCTTTCTTTACATCTTTTTTCTCTTCTTCATCATCTCCTTCCCGTTAAATTTTACGGTAAAAAAACAGCTATCTTACTTTCTTACCTTTTTGATCATAATCAAACTTTGGGTTGACTTGACTTGTATCCATCAGTCAGGTTTCCAATCCAGTTAGTTATTATTACTTTCTCCTTCTTTTTTATTTTCATTACACTTTCACTTGAAACTCATCTAATACCCTTGATATTTGATTAACATGAATTTGGACCCGGAACTGGGATCCGATCAACATGCGGTTAGCATTAAACTAACCAATGTCAATGATGCCACCGATGATTGCGTTGTTCCCGCGACAGCAATAGCAGTAGCAGCTCCAATTGCTGTTGTATCCACCGTTTCAAATAAAAATGACCATGTAACCAATTTAATGTTATCATCTTCATCTTCATCACATATCCCATTACACTTCATATCCAGATTGGCAGATGAAATACCAGACAAGTTAGCTAAAATATATACAATTTTACTTCAACATAACTTTCTCCCGGACTCTTGGAAAATCTCATCCACCATCTTCATTCCCAAAAGTGATGGGAAAAGGCCCAGGCCAATCTCTGTTCAATCAAATTTTTCCAAAATCCTTGAATCTATCATCCTTGATGACCTGAACAACAATATACCAACATCTTTCTTCAAAAGTCAACATGCTTTTCAAAAAAACAAGAATATCGACACAGCCCTAATTGAAATCAACCAAAATGTTCAATTATTCAAACCAGCATCACCATCAATTTTTCTTGTTGATATTGAATCCGCTTTTGATAGCATATCCCACCAATCAATCTTACAAGAACTCCAAAAACTGAAGATTCCCCGAGACACTTTAATACTCATTCAAAACTACCTCAACTCCAGATACATGTCGATATTAAACCGAGAATCAGCCTTTTTCAAGAAAACTGATGTTGGAGTACCACAAGGCTCAATCCTGGGCCCGTATCTCTTCACCATTGGCATCCAACAAATCATCAATTATTTAAACAACAAACCTCTTCAACAACCACCAATGTTCATCAACCGACGAGCAGTTCAAGATCCGACACCTTTACACCTGAGAGTCACCGCTTATGCGGACGACCTCATCATAATTCCATCTCCTCGACAAATGGACAAATCAGATTATGCTGCAATGTGCACCTCTGTTATCTCTCGTAAACTTCTAGAACTCCTTAAACCCTTAAATCTATCCATTCTCCCTCAAAAATCACATCTGCTAGTAAATAGATTCCTACTTCCCAAAATAAAACAAATTGGTTCGTTCAAAATCCAAACTAATGATAGAGGTAAAATACTAGGAATGACGTACATGTTAGGTGTAAATCAACCCTTCCTCACCGATTCCCTGATTGACAAAATTAACATAACCACCAGCAAAATACTAACAAACAATCCCAAAATCATACACGTCCCTCTAAACATATTAACACTCATCACCTCCTCCAAAATCGAATCCAAAGCTTTCGCTTATAACGAAATCCTGCTACCAATACTAATTAATTCCACCCAAGAAAGAAACAAACTAGAATACGCTTGCAGCCGTATAATAAGAAAAGCTGTAAATTACGACTGGAAGCTTAATATAGTGCTGGACAAAATTTTTCGTACACTAGTTTTTTTTATTTTTAGTGAATATTATTGATTTATTTAACCTTGTGGCCGTGATAATCTAATAATTAGAAGTTGATTTAAGTTCATCATCAAAAAAAAGTTTGATAAGTGCTGAAGTTACGATTTTACTCCTTTCTGTCACAAATTTGCTGGCCATAATTTTTCGTACATTGAACTTTTTGACTATTATCTTTATAACTGTACCACGTAAGTAATTTTTCAAGATATATTACCAACAAACTAACATTCTGATACTTTAACATCGATACAGTATGCACTCAAAAGAGTTGATAGCTTTAGTTCGTACCGAGTACGAAGAAACCAAGAATCTGAGAGGAACTGCGAGGAAATTCAAATTAACACCGAGCACAGTCCAATATATGATTGCAAATAATTATGAAAGGTCAAAGAAAGATGTTGGTCGTCCAAAAATACTAGGAGCAAGGGATGTGAACAAAATCAAAAGAGAAGTTAACAGGCTGAAAGGTAAAGGTGAAAAGGTAAATGCCACAAAAGTAAAGTCAAATTGTAACTTAGGATGCTCAAACAGGACAGTCAGAAGGTCATTGTCATCTTTAGGTTTGAGATACAAAAAGAAACCAAAAAGGATACAGCTCAAACAACAGCATAAAGATGATAGAGTCTCAATGGCCAAGAAGTGGCTTTCTGATTGTTTCGACTGGAAGAGGACGATTTTCACTGATGAAAAGAAATTTAATCTTGACGGACCAGATTCCTGGATGAGTTGGATGAGTGAAGATGATGATTCAGATAGAGAAATGCGTCAGATGGGCGGTGGCTCAGTCATGGTTTTGGCAATGTTGTTGCCGAATGGAATTGTTCATGTTTTCCGAATGATTGGTAGGATCAATGGTCAATACTACACTGACTTTCTTGAAACTAATGCTCTGCCTATCTGGCGAAAACATTTTGGAAGAAGGCGATACTATTTTCAACAGGATAACGCAAGCATACATACCTGTAAACATTCAATGGACTGGCTGTCTTCGCATGTACCCGCTTTATTGAGTTGGCCATCTAAGTCACCTGACTTGAATCCAATCGAAAATGTTTGGAAGATGCTTGTTGACATAGTTTATGATCGTCCTCCTTACCAAAACACCGATGATTTGTGGGAAGGCATCAAAGATGCAACAAAAAAGCTCAATCAAGAAAAAAATGAAACCACATCTTCTTTAGTTTCAGGAATGAACTCAAGACTTGTCAAAGTGATTGAACTAAAGGGGGAAATCATAAATTCCACCAAAATTTCCAATCAGAAATCAAAAAGATAGTGATATGTCTATTGTACGAAAAATATTGTCCAATAATCTTTCATGATATTTTGTTACTTTGTTTATATTTTTTTTGTTGAGTTTTTTTCAAAATTTTTTTGTTATTTTTTTCAAATTTTATACCTTAAGAAACCATTTGTTCAAGTCAAAAAGTCATTTAGCATTATATTAAATTCAAATTAGTAATAAGAAAAGCTGTAAATTACGACTGGAAGCTTAATATCACCACAGTTTGCGCGATCATAGGTCGTACTCCTACATGGGCAAGAATAATAACTTCTAGCTTAACTAGAATTTATCAAAACCTCACCCAGAACGAGAACCCACAAGAGAGTTTAAATTTCTTTGATAAATACCCAAACCTAGCACCCAGCATATCAAACAACCAAATCTGGTGGGGCTACAAACAGATAATAAACGATCACGTCACAAATCTCATCGACCAACAATGGACGAGTGAAGATCCTCAAAGCAGAGTTATTCTTGGAAAGTGGAAACCTTTAAAAATACGCCAAAAAATGGACAATCATATATCGCTTCTACTTGGCAAATACAATTATACCCAAACATCCACTTCCTGTCTATGCGGCTCCAGAATAAACGATCCTATCCACTGGGTAACCCAATGTCCTAAAACTGAGACTGAACGTCTAAAAACCCTAAACGACCTCAATATTGACACCGCAGACATCATCCCAACTTTTTTACAACCTTTCTCTACTCCACTTTTCTACAACCTTTTCGAGGCTGTCTTCCAAACACATATAGTCCCAAAGTTTGACAAATTTAATTCCCTGAAAAACAAACCTCGCACACAAAAGCCTAACACTAAATCAAACTCCAAAAATAGTAAAAAACAAAAATCTCAACCAATACCTTAACCCCTTGAAACTCACCTCAAATGTATCATGTTCAACCAGGAAAACTTTCATCTACGGGTCTGCGTAATTCCAAGCAACCCTCCTTGTACCAATGCTAAGACCGAAATAAACAAAATCCTAGCTTGGCGGTTCCTTAAAAGCTGTTATAATTCCGATAAAATCCAAACCTGAACAAATGTAAGTCATTAGATAAACAAGTGTGAAACTTTCAATAAATTAAGCCATCTAATCATCTATAATTAGATGTAAAATATCATCTAACCTTGATCAAACATTATCTTTCGATTCAATAATGACTCAGATTGTTCTTACGTTGATTGATAGCTATTTGTGTCTTCTTTTGCTTAGCAAATTAAAGAATGATCAATTCTCCAACAATTCCTATTGTAAGTTTTGTTTTATAATTTATTTTAACTTTCAAAAAGCATCTGTTAGATCATAATTTGAAATGTTCATTTATTTACACACTTATTGTACTACAACTTTCAACATCAATGATGTTAAGAAACCAAATGAATTAAGACAAAGATAGAGGCAAAGTGACACTCAAAACAATACAATGTAATGATAATACCATATATAATCATAATACATGAAACACGCGAAGTAAAGAGATTAATTTATCAATGATTAATAAATAATATTAAGTGATTCGATTGTTGGTTGAATGTTTAATTTCTTCAAATGAAGATTGGAAAGTTTCAAAAGAAGCAAGACTCTTTATCTAATTGCTGTGAAAAATTTACGATTGTGTACCAAAAAGTCTCATCCTTTAGCATTTCAAATGTTGATAATGTTCCTGATTAAGAAATATGAACACTTGAAAAATTTGAAAATATGCTCCAAAGTGATAGCACCACCAAACTACATTATTCAAGATCTTCACTTTCTTGGCGTCGTCTAGCAAAATCTTCAAAAATAAGATCAGTGCTCATTTCACGAGTCATTTGTTTCTTAAGTCGTCGACCTGCAGTTGTGACATTTGTCGTCGACGTTGTATTAGCTCCTGTTGACTCAGCAGGTTGTCCACTTTCCTTGTTTTTATTTTCCTCTCCACTTTCAGCCACAGTTTTACCATGACCAGGGTCTAGAGTACATAATTTGAAAGGTACATCAGCAGTTAAATCTCCCCCAATAGCGCCTAAATAGAGGCGAACTCTAGCAACATAGGAAATGACGATTCCAATGGCATCCGAGGTCGGTGTCAGTGTGGACGATGCTAAGTTGGTGTCAGCCTCTTTTAACATTCCGTCCAAGGCGATTCCTCGCCGATCCTTATTGGAAGCAGCCAGGGGTAACAATTGGTAAACCTTTGAGAAAGAAGCACCTGGAGTGATTGGACATCCTTCCTTTGATTCAAGACTGGCCACTGTTTTACTGTAATGACCATTAACCAAAGTAACTTCAGTGTGTTGAACAATCGAAACCTAAATTGAAGTAAAAAGAGAAACAAAAAAGGTTAAAAACATCTCGTTTAATTGTTTTTTTAGGTATCAAAAAAAGTATTACAATAAAAGGAAATCTGCTGATAATTGGATTTGATGAGCTACTCTAAACATTGAATTTAATTTGATGACAATTTACTTGCAAAGGTTTCTAAGTCGCATTAAGAAAGGGTAAAATGTCATCAAAGTAAATAAATAATGAAAATATTGACTCATAACACGCAAAACTAAACATGATATTATTCACATTAAACTGTAAACATTGAACATTTGTCATCATCAATAATGAAAAAGGCTTGCCAATTGTCAAATTCAATTGATTAAAATGTCAATTCTAGTGTCAACTTCAATCTAATTTATTAATAGAAGGTTAAATTTGGTGAAAGTAAAGATCATTGACAAAATCATTACATTAAAATGCAACTCAAGTCAAAAAGCAACTCAATTGACTTTACTTTGTATTTCATTTTCAATCCAATTAACAAGCAATTTTTACAGTTTGTTGAAAATAAAATTAAATCATTCAATATTGAGCAGGAAAAATAAAAAACTAAATTTGAAGAATGAAAAAAAATATTAATATTCAGTCAGTTTTGATTGAAGGAAAAAAAGCAAACTTGATTACTAGTTGAATAACAAGTGTTGAGTGCATTAGAGTCATCAAAGTAATTACAGTGAAAATCAATATTTAATGTGATTATAGTGAATTCATCAACTGGTTACCATTGAATTTATTGATTAATGTAGGAATAAATTTGGACAATCAAATGAAAACCTTGACATTGAATCAAAATTGAAGTCAATTTTTTGTCCATCAAATAGACTGAGCATTTTAATAAGAGTTTATTGTTAACTGTCTTTAAAACTGTGTTATCTGTTTTCATTTACAGGTAATCCATTGATTTTATAATCAATCAGAATTTTCCTTTTCTATCAAATGATGAAATCAGAATCAAAAACCAATTTGAGAAATATCTAGGAAACAATTTAGCTGAATTAGGAAAGGTAAATCATCTATTAGTTGAGAGGACTGGGAAACAAAAGGTAATTGGAGTAAGATTAATGATATTTGATATTAAATACTAGAAGAAATAAATTGTCACAAAAGACTTAATCACCAAAAGATTGGATCAAATTAAATTAGTAAATTGTTATGTTGAAAGATTAAATCTCAACAGACAACCTGAAAATCAAATGAAATAGTGTGACTCTTGGATTGAACAAAAATAAATCAATTGTGAAACTTGATTAACCTGGGGTAACATCAGGACTATTGGCTGACTAATCTGTTAGATTCAGCAAATTAATAACTGTAGATATTATCTGGGTAAACATTATTTTACCTTAATAATGATCATTTTTACAACTTCAATAGCAATATATAAATGTAACATTATAAATATTTATCAAATTTGAGTCTGGAATCAAATTAATAATGAAACATGTTTACAGTTAACATTTGATTGTGTGTTGGACATGATTTTTGTATTGAAAGCTTCAAGCTAATTGAAAAGGTTGACTTACCTTCACTGAACGAACATTTTTCTTTGAATAATTGGAAACAGTTACATGAGCTGAAATTTTGTCTCCATGAAAGTATAATTCCCTGTCTAGAGTCACTTCAAGGTTCAGTTTTCCTGGACTTAACATGAATCCCTGTAAGAAAACAATAAGACGAGTTAGCAATTGGAAAAAGAAAATAAATTGTTGGATAATTAATCATTAATCAAGCCAATTACTGGGTAAATGTACTACTTAATGACCTGTTGTTTGTCAATTTGAATGTTTCAAGAAATTTAGAAACAATCAACTCTACAATTGTATGAACGTTTTTTGGGTTATTTTGGGTTGACGGCAATGCTCAATATTGAATGCATTTCAATGTTTTTCAATAGACAGTCGACCATTAGTTTACAATAAAGTTACAGAAAGATTAAAAAAGTAGATCAAAACAAGAAAACAGATTAACCAGAAAGAATCAAATAGAAGAATGAAAAAGAAGATAAAATACAGAAAAGAAAGGAAATTGGAACAGAATCTGTTGACAGAGCAATGAACCTATCAATGGGGAAAAATCGAGAATAAATGAATCTGGAAGAAGTAAATAATCTTCATGTTGATGCTCTCAGGTAACATTGTAGCCTTATTAAAGCTGAATTTGCAGCTTTCACTATTTGTATATTATGTATGTTGAGCCTTCGAGAGACTGTAATAATGCACTTGATGATTCTTCAATACAATTAATTATATTTTATCACTTGGGAATCATTGAAATCAGGTCAGTCTCTTTTTTGGCTTTGTTTGATACAATTTGTTCATCTTTTCCTGTATTGGCTTTTTTATTTTCAATTTCACTCCAAATTTCAATCCCTTGAGCTCCATTATCTTCTCGTTTTTGTCCAATGTTGAAAAAGTCTGAAATAAATGAGTAAAAGTGGAATTACTATCTCAATATTTGATTGTTGGTGGTTGATAAACTTACATGTTCATATTCAAAATTTGCTGCCACTCAAATTGCGCTGCGAAATACATACTGCCAGAAATAATCAGCTGAGTAAAGTTGAGAGGTAAATTAAGAGATGTATTAATTGAATTACCTTGTAGTGTTTAATTATTAACAGTTTTGGACGTAAATAAAAGCTATGACCAATGGTGAGGGAAATAAATTTGATTACAATGTAACATCTATTTGAGTTGACTTAACATGTTCAAATCATTAAATATGTATTTAGCCATTATACTTTTGTTTCATCATCAAATTGAGCCAGAAACTTGGGTTAACTTAATTTTGTAGTCAGTAATCTCAAACCAACAGTATTGAAAGTGTGTACGAAAGCTGTAATAGGCAATCACAATTAGGTGTAATTTGTTGATTAATTAGCAATAAGCTTTTCATTCCTAACATCACCACAATGACGAGTAATCAGCTTTCTCGTATCACCAAGAGTGAAATAATTTTTCCTTAAAACCAGAGTCACTCCTACTATTGGTTACCTGAATTAAGAAAACAGCAATGAATCAATTCCTTCAAGTATTTCTTTCCAGTAACTTCCACTATCAATTGAGTCGTCCAGAAATTCAGTCATATTGATGAGCATTTTCCGTTAAAGCTGTTACAGGCTGATTGGGGTAGAAATTAAATGATGTATGCGTAAAACACTGTGTAATACAACGTAAAAGTAAGGTCTTTCCGATATCAACAGTCAGGTTGAATAACATGTACCAAATGAAGAGAAGAATCAATATGGTGATTGAAGAACGACCTTAAAACACATTAATGGATTCCATTGTTGAATAAGAGTTGATAAAAAATATTATCAGATTGATATGGAAAATGAATTTACAATTTTCCTCCAATCAATTTTCTCACAGTCAAACACAAATATTGGCAAACTGTTCTTTCAAAGAAAAAGATTCTTGAAAAAATTTTGCAATTTAAAAGAAAACAATTACAATTTGTCAACTATTATAAATCTTGATTGATGTTGAGGTTCACATGATCGATTCTTTAGCACCGGAAATCACTGATTGACAAAATCTACCCTCACAAGTCTAGAAAAATAAATTCAAAAATGATGATCTAAGGAGCATTTGAATGTAAAAACCGTTAAAAAGGTTTATCATATCAGAAGACAAAGAAAATGAACGCTGACTAGTAAGACAATTTTTCCACTCTTTATTTTTCAACTATCTTTTAGCAAAGCAGTGAGCTAATACTTTCAACAGTAAAATTTAATCGCCTTGTTTATGCTAAACGACCATTAAAATTTTTAATTAAAATTTACTAAATCACTTGTGTTGACAACAAATTATCATTGGTTAACGTGTTCGGATTATTTGTAATGGATTAACTGGTTTATTTTTGGTGAAAAACATTGGAAAAATCAAGGGTAAGTCCTGCTAACAAGTATTCAATTAAATTCTGTCGTTTTTAACCTACTTAATGTAACTTCAGCTGATCATTTTTGCCAAAAATATATTTCATTATTGTTTTTTCGCGATGTTAGACGAATTCTGAAAAAGATCACTTGAATCCGTTAGTCTAGGCCTAATGTTTTGTCACTATTCGAGCATTAATATTGTTTTGTTTTCTCTTTTTGTTAGATTCAGGTTACTCTGAAATTTTGGGTTGTTTCCTGGATTATTTAAAGATTATAGTATGGCTAACTTTTCCAATTTGGTTTCTGTTAAAAGGGATATCTATCGTAAATCGAAACAAGATTCAAAAGAAAGTGAGGATAACAAACATACCTTGGTAATCTCTTCCTCACCACCTCCTATTGTTTATGGCAAAGATAAATCATGTGTTACACAATCAACAAACCTTCATACTTATATCATCCTGTTATGCTATCTTGGCGCTTTGATTCAAGGAGCTACAATCTTTAGTAAATATCTTAAATATCCGACGACGAATACAGTTTACATCGAGCGTCCATCAGAAACTGAGCTACCTTCTATCTCATTATGCTTCTTCTATTCTTTGGATGAATTTCAGAATGTCACAGTTATAGATGGTGTCGAACATTATCCTTTAAAGCTGTCCGAGATTAATGAGCGTTTACCTAAGATTGAAGATTGGATTCTCGATTGTAAGGTTCTTAACAATAACAGCTATCAATATGAACCTTGTCTAAATTTATGGAACTATTATGTTGAATATTTGTCGCTTTATTCCAAGTGCTATTCTTATTTTGAAAGTTTGATGCCACAGATCTATTATAAAAGTCAATTCGTCATGGGAAAATGGATGATGGAGGTGAAATTTAACATTTCAGTTATAAAAAGCAAACGTATCGGTATTTATATCACGCACACTTATGCTGAACTAGAAGAGTCTCTTGGCAATCCAAGTTTTCTGCAATTTGATACAGTTGAAAACAATCAAGCTGGTGTAACATTCCAAAATACAGTAGTTGAGCGTCTTCCGCCTCCATACAATACGAGTTGCCGTTACTATGAACATGAACCCTGTAACCACCCTAAAACCTGCACGAGGCATTGTGTTATGAATATGTCTTATGACAATTATCATTCATGGTTTTCTCGGAGTTATGTAAAACTGCGACCCGAGTTCATGGATGGTCACTTTACTAATCGCTCAGAAAAAGAAATGTTCAAAAATTGCTCAGAAACATATTCTGAACAACCATGCCACGACTACTATTACCTAGCAATTTTAACTAGTGCGTTCAAATCAGAGATACTAGAAAATGATACATTCCAACTGTCTATGGCATACCCAATAGCACCTAAAACTCAAGTAGTTTTTCAACCTGCGTCAAAACTCATGGATACTCTGTGTTTGTTTGGTGGCCAGTTTTACCTGTGGACCAGTATTTCACTACTTTGTGTGATAAGTTTATTATCATGGAAATTTAAGAAATTTTTCAAGAATGTATCGAATGACGTGATGCTAAAGAGAAATAGTAAATTGAGTCACAATCTCAAAACTTGTATTTCCAACACTCAGCTAAGACCTAAAGTTTCTGTCATTTCAAAGGCCGCAGAAGATGACGCAAAATTTAAAACAGTTAGACTCAATAAATTTACATCACATGGTTTATCGACACTGATGCCACCAGAAGGATAGCTCTGAAAAATTATGTCTTCATTTGAATTGTGGGAATCATTAGTGGTTAACACAACCGCTATCCTGATTATCATGGAAGTGAATCTCAACATCTTAATCATTTATACTGGTTCACTTCCCATAGAATAGTCAATTAGATAATGCTAGATAATCATGTAGCTTGGACAATTCCCCTTGATGAAGCTTCGGATAATGAATCATTGGTTTCGTTGATTCACCTCATAATTGTTGGTACAGTTAACTAGGTATGCATTTAATACATTTTATAACAATCGTAAAACAATGTTATATTTCACGATTGTTTAACAAATTTTCCAAAAACTAATTCCATTCTTATTTTCGTTTGCAGAGCACGGGCATTGGATCGAGTTTATTTTTGTTCAACAATTTCCAAATTTTATTCACGGCTATTAGAGCTCATGAATAATGTTAATTTAATAGACAGTAATCAAATTTTGGACTAACACAGATTTTGAAACAAACATCTGAAAGAGCATAAATTTTAAATTTGCAATAAAACATTGTTAATTTGAATGTTGAAATGCATCCTTCTATTTAAAGGTTACTCCTCAAATATTGCTGCATTTTTTATTCAAATAAATCTGTTATATAAAAGGTGATCTTAATGGGTAATCAAAGTGATTTATTAACCATAAGGTAATATGATTTATTCAATGTAAATGCACTCTTGAGCTTTGCTTCAAACCTATTCATACAACTTCATATTTTACTGATTAATGTTTCATCTTTACATTAATATCGTAAGGGATTTTATATGTTAATTTGACACTTTCATATTATCTATTCCTCACTAATTTAGAGATTGTTTAAACCCAGTAATTGGACGATTGTGAACCCTTCATCGATTCTGTAAAAAGCACCAACAAAGTTAAAGTATTTATGAACGTTACCTTTGAGACAATAGATGAAGGTTGACGAGCACTGGGTGATGGAAGTGTATATTGTAATTTACGGATGGCCATTGCAACTGAATTACGGCGTTGTGGTTTTTCAAGTTCATTGTCAGCAACAAACATTTTAACCTCATATTCAACTCCCAATGGTGGCCCTTGGTCTTCAGGTCCTGGTTGAAGAGTTACAGAGGGTGGAGCATTTTTGGGCAGTTGAAAGGTAAACGGATGAGCTGCTGATCCCAATTTACGTAACAATTTGTCCTGCAGTTTGTTTAATGGTTGTGGTTCACTGTTGGATGTTTCATTAATTGTTTGCTGTTTACTTGGTGCAGGAGGATAAACTTGCTCTAATGCCAAATATAGTTGACGGGAAAAGTGTAATCCCATAATCTCATCTTCTTCCCTTCCATAACGAAAGGTGGTCACTATTTGTCCAAAAACACGGCGACCTTTTAAATATTCTTCATCAACAACGACAACACCATCAATGGTATCCACATAATCACCGTGATCACCAAAATCTCGACTTCCAAGGTAAACAGTTATCTTACCATTGGGAGCAGTTTTCTTATACACTTTAACGGCAACAGCATAGGCTAGGAACAGAGATACAGGTACACTAATCATTTTGATTAAACTCACTTTTAATTTAATCACTCGTAAATCAATTGAACCTAATTTTAAGTTGCTTTTTATTCACTCAGTTCAACTTGATTGATGAACAAATTACGTTTCTTGGATTCTCCCAAATTCAATGTTTTTGCTTCTCCAAAGGTGAGTAAATTAAATTTAACTGATTACTTTTTCCACTTTACATTAACCTTTTTTTTGGTCTTCAACAATTACAATGTAAAAATTAAATTTAATTTTGATCAACTAGTTTAAAGAGGTTAAATTTGATTCACTTTTTACTCTCATAACAAAAGGTAAACTATGGAAAAGTAACAGAAAAGGTTAATTAGTGTTACAATTAAGATTGATTTGACAAATGAAGTTGCTTTTGAAAGAACAGAGTCGGGAAAATGATTAGGTGAAGGAGGAGGAAAAGAGGAGGATGATGATGATGATGTAAAAAGGATACAGTGAGCTATAAAATCTATTGATAAGTTTTCATCATCATAGTGTCGACGATTATCATAATTGTAGGTAAATCACTGTCAACATTGATTCTAAATTCATCTCGTCTAATCATCTTTCACTTTTCATCCCTTCGTCGCTCATTTTAATCATCGTATTAAACATCTTCAACATTACCTGTCCTCTGTTTCATAATTTACGTCTATTTTTGTACTTTAATTCCTTACTAAGTACTAATTTTTGTCTCTTTCTTCTCTGTCTTTTAACTTTTTTTCAGGTAAACTTTGCAGTCAAATTTATTGATGAAATTGAAAAGGCACATTGGAAACCATATGAATGGCTTAATCGAGAAACTTGATAAGGTTTCTTAACAACCAATAAGATTACTATTCATCTTGATTATTCATTTGATTTTGATTCTGATGATGCACACCAAATTAACAATTTATACGGACTCTTTCCTAAGTTAGTGTTGGTTTGCTGATGAAATCACTGATCACTTGAAAAAATATGGACACAAGGATCACAGTAAAGTTTTATGGTTATTGATGGCAATCATTACAATAATGAGATATAATTATGAAAACCTATGATGATGATGACTTAATGATGGTAATGGTGAGCACAATGATGACTTTGATGGCTAAAGTTAATGGTAATGATTGAAATGGGTTACAAACAATTGAATTTGTGTTATTAATTTCTGTTAATCCTTTTATTTTTACACAGAAATGATGGAAACTAATGGCTATGGATCAAGCTGCAAGTTTAACTTTTACAAATTGTATCCAGTCGTGTAAACAGCAAAGTTGGTCAAATTGTTTTACTTTTCTTCAACAATCTGTTGATTGTATTGGGAATCACGCTGATGAAGCTGTTGTTGCTAATTTTATCTATCATGTTCACCAAATTTACAAGAGTAAAAGTGGTTCATTCACTAAAGCAAAGCACAAATGAAAAACAAAGAGCAACTTACAGGGAAAGGATGGATTACAATTGGATTGAAAGCAGAACAAGCAATGAAGATGATAAAGATAGAGATGATAACGAAGGAGAAGATTTTTTGCCGCTCATCTATTTTTCTTCGTATCTCAAGAAATGATAAAAAATTGTGAACAATGTGTTGAGGATAATATGAGGGAAAAATAAGATGATGAAAAGAGAGTTTGCTGTTGAACATGTTGGAGAAAAAAAAGTTCTGATTCAACTCAGCTCAACCATGATTCCATTCATCAGCTCTTTCTTTATCTTCATCCCTTCTCTCAGCCTGCAGGTTAACTTTGGCTAAATTATTCACCAAACCCTCTCTTCCAGAAACTAAACTCCCTGTGAATTTATCAACTTGTTTATTTATCCATTTGTTTTGCTTGTTCTCATCATATTATGAGGCAAACAAATTACTCATGTTTATCATCAACAGATGATTGTACACTTGAAGGGTTAATCAAAAGGCGCCACTTGAATCAAAATGTAAACTTGAAAGAACGAAATTGTTTGATTACAGAAATTGTAAACAAAATTAATCAAATCTATTGAACAAGCTGAAAATGAATGTGAAAAGTAAAACAAAAAAAGGTTAAAAAACCCAAAATAGATTATTGAACATTAGGTTCAACTTTATTTAGACTGTTGCCATCAAATAATTGGATTTGATTGAAATGATTTTACTCTTGATTGTTAATGTAATGAAAACCCTTGCAATACACAAAAAAGCAAAATTAAGCTAATATGGTTGATACAAATCTGTATATATAAACATTGTATTTATCCAACTTGTTTCATCTGCTTCTTTCACCTTCACTCATTCATACCATGAACGCACAGATGATATTACATTTTATATCCATCAGAATAATAAGATCTCAATATTATCAACCAATTACTTTTTTTCCTACCTTTACCTTTAATCTTTCATTTTTACTTCTTTTTTTCATATCTCATCATTGTAAATGTATAACTATTAGTTTTATTTGATATTTGATTGAGTATAGTTGATTTGCTGAGTCCTTTTTTTCAATTATCATCAAGTTATATTTATCAATCTATTATTTTCTCACTGAAATCATGATCATTTCTTGTTATCAATTCTGTCTTTTCTACCTTTCAGAGTAAATATTTGACAACATTTAGAGTTGACAACTTTCAAGTGTATCAATTGCTCGTTTCAATCGGTTGGATAAACAATCAAACTTCGTGATTAAATATGATTTCGTGATGGTTAATTGAAAATTTGAAGTTACTTTAGTTTTAAGTTTTTTTTCCTTAATCATTAAGTGAAACTAGAGGCGGCTGTGATTCAGTCATGATGGCAAATTTGTCTCCACTAAGCACAATAAATTCAATTTCATTTCAAGACTCAATGAAAAAATCATTGTCAATGATAAAAGCTAAAAATAAAAATATAATCTAGTTTTAACTTTGAAAGCGATTTCATCAAAAGCTTGCGATCATAGAAATTTTTCAATCTCTAAAATGTTTTTCAGTTCAACCTTTAGTTAGTCAGGTCACAACTCTCAACTCAAAAGTCAAAGTTTTGGCACTTATTAATCAATCAACAATAAACCAATGCGACATCAAACTAAACAAAATAAAGCTTTCCTTCACAATGCTTGAACTGTGTTGTCACCACACTGTTAAAACACGACTTTCTTAGGGACCTGAATTCATGTCTACCTAATTCTGTCGCTTTAGTCAACTGATGAAAATCTTTTGGTCGTAGAATTTCTTTTAGAACCCTTTCCGTTTAGACATCATTTTGACACAAACTGACTGATCGCATAGTCTCTATCACTGTAGGATACAATCGATATCAATCGGCATCGAAAAGACACAAGTTCATATTGAAAAATTATCATCAGAATCAGAAATCTTTAGCTTTTGTCCAGTTTTGTATCGTTCCGTATTTCAATATCCTGCTACGATTGTTCTTGGTCTTGGTCTTGTATTTGGTTTCGTATTTACGAAGATGTTTCTCGGAAAATTTAGAACAACCAGAGATCAAAACAAGAAACAAACTGGAAGAACAGAGTTGAGAACGAAAAGTACAAACTAAGAAATTAAAGAGATTTCGATAAATATGCGCTTTTGCATTGATTTTTCGGATTATTTTAGATAGATAATAGTATAGTCAACCTCACTCTTAAGTACGAATATGACTATATAAGTATATAACTGCGAATCGACTTCAGTTTCTGTATCACAAGCTTTAAATTTCTTATTAAACGCAGAGAAATCTATTTACATTGGCTTTTCTACGACGAAATGCGGGACAATTGTTTTGTTCTTTCAGTACAAATTGTTCCACAATCCTGGAAACGAGTATTTTTTGTCGGAGTTGAGAGTTGAACCTTTGTTGACTGTAGAAGCAGAAAATTGATTCCATTTGGTGAATCAAAAAGTTTCTCTAATGGACAATCTTTGTCAAAATTGGGTTAAAAGTTATAACTTTGGTCAGTTGAGGCACCAGATTTTGCCTAACTTTTTACTCTTTACCCAAAAGTGGCAGATTTACATATAATCCAACAATAAAGCATCAAACTGAACAGCCAAAAACGTTTTTCTCTCAAACACAATGCTACAAAATACAGATTCTACATTTCCCTCATTCTGTTTGAACGAGAATTGCTCATTAACCCGAATTCTGATACAGCCCTGAATATTTATCAGGACATGTAGCCAATCATGGCTTTCAAGCTGTGTCAAAAATTTTCTTAGAATCCTTTCCGCTTAGCTACAATTTTTACACAAACTTCATGTTTTGACTTTATATTATTGTATATTGTATATCTAATATATTGTATGGATGTATAGATTGAAATAAACCAATTTTCGAGTCGATTATCTCATTTGTTTCTTATCTTATGAATCGAAAAATTAAAGTGAATTAGCTTGAAACTCTATTAGGAGAGAAAAGGTATTTTCTCGGTGAACTTTTGCTTGACATTATTCAACATCTGAATATATTCATCTGTGAAACCTTTCATAATAGCTGCTCGAGAAATGGCAATGTTAAAGTGATTCATTTCTTAAGGGAAAACGGTAGTTCATACATTTTTGTTTCATTCATTTCTGAAGGCAACTTTCATTCGACTATTTAACGTTGATTATCATGGAAATGTTTCACAAGAAGAAAAGTGTTTTTCATGGAAATATTTTCATTCCATTTGTGATGCTTATTGGCTTCTTCTTCTTCATTTTCCTACAAAAACTCTTCATCTGTTTGCCTTTCTTCATGTTTTTCTTCTTGCTCATCTTTTCTATTATTTATCATTTTTCTGTTTTTCTCGTCCTTTTCCCGATGTTTTTGCATTTATAATGGCTCAAGATTTGATTCAACAGTTAGATCAACAGTTATTGTACTAAATATTTCAACATTTAATATTATCAAATTCAATATCGAATATTGAGATTGTAAAATGTATGTCAATCAAGTCTGACAGTTGAACAGAAAACAGATTGAAAAGGTTGACATTCTGTTTAACCTTATTTTACGTTGTCAATCTTGATTCAATGAATTAACAATCATGATCGATATTCAAATGAATTTACAGAGAAAATAATTACGAGTTGGTTTGTTAACAGCTTCTGTAAGCCTCTCATTCTGCTGAATCAATTTACTTGATTTGAGTCGGTTGTTACTAAAAAGCCACCATTATATCATTCATGCATAATATCAAACAAACGGGACAGAAAGGGTTGAAATGAATTTCTTTAAAGTTTAGTCTCTGCTGGTATACAAGAGAAATGAAAACTGAATGAATTTTAGCGATTTAAAGATTTATATAACCCATATTTTTCGATAAAAGCGAGTTCGAAGTTAAAACTTCGATCGCTTTTTATTAAGCTATGGAAGCAGCTTTTTTCATGAAACTTATTATACAAATCTAACTTTTGTTGATCTACCAGGACATCTATACATTTTAAGAAATAAAACTTTTATTTTTCTTTAAAATAGAATAATTCGATTTTTAGTTTAATCGACTTCGTTCTATGACCATGAGAATTAGCGATTTGAAACTTATCATAAGACCATAAAAGTAGTCCCTTAACATCATACATTGAATAAGGCTATCAAATTATCAACGGTTCTCTTGATCTTGGCCATTGACGATAAAACTTTGAACCTCGATACTTAGAGAATGGCATTACCTAAAACCGTGTTTCTTTCATCAATTTATCTCTTTACTAATTAAAAATGCAATACTGTTTAATTGCTTTGCATTAGCGCATTTGAGTCATATTGTTTGGCCTTTGAATGAACTATCAACAACTTATTTAACAAAACAAACACTTTTTAACTCATTTCTTGGTATATAAACCAATTTTCTGGTTTAACTTATAACTGAAAAACAAAAGATAATGCTAGAGACTTGAACGTTTAAGTTAAGGGTTGGAACTGAAATAGGTTGTAGGGACATAAAAACCGAGTCCATTGGTGCTAATAAATAATTTCTCTGATGGACAGTTACCGAGAAAATCGAGTTGAAAGCTAAAACTTCGATCGCATTTTGCGCTATTATTGAAGTAGCTTTTTTCATGAAACTTATTTTACTGGTGTGGCTTTTGATCATCTACCAGAAAATGTATTCGTTTTAAGAAATAGAACTTTTCTTTGTCTGTAAAATAGAATAGTTCGATTTTTAGTTTTACCGAAATCATTCTATGACCATAAGAATAAGCGAATTGAAACTTATTATAAGACCATAAATATTGTCCCTTAACATCATGAGTGTAACAAGTTTATCAAATATGCAACGGTTCTCTTGATTTTGGTCATTTGTCTTAGAACTTTGCGACTCAATATTTCGAGAATGGTCTCACTTACAATAATGATTCTTTCACCAATTTGATTCTTACTAATTAATGAATCAATTAAATCTATTAACTTTTTCATGCGTGAATTTGGGTCATGATTTTTGGGTTTTAAATGAACTATCAACCACTTATTTAACAAAACAAACTCATCTAAACACATATCTTGGTAAATAAACCAATTTTCTGGTTAATCGTACAACTAAAATGCAAAAAGTAATGCTAGAGACACAAACATTTCATTTACGGATTGAGACTGAAAAAGGTTCGTAGGGACATAAAAACCGAGTCTATTGGTGCTAATAAATAATTAATCTGATGGACAGTTACCGATAAAATCGCGTTGGAAGCTGAAACTTCGATCGCTTTTTATTGAGCTATGGAAGCAGCTTTTTTCATGAAACTAATTTTGAAGATCTAACTTTTGCTTAACAACCCGAAAATTAATGTATTCTGAGAAAAAACGCTTTCTGTTTCTGTAAAACAGATCAAGTTTGTATTTAAGTTAAATCTATCGCTTTCTTTGATCATAAGGGTTAGCGAGCAGAAACTAATTATTAGTCCATGAAAAAATTGTCTCTTCACATTAAGGATTAAATACTTGGATCGATCTATCAACCATTCACTTGATTTTGGCTATTTGTCTTAAAACTTTGCGACTCAATATCTCGACAATGGCATTCCCTACAACCATCGTTCTTTTCAAAACATTAGATTTTATTATAGCTTATAACTCGATACGACTAAATACCGAATAAAATCGGAGCTAATTCATTTAATAATGAAGATCCTTGGGAAGCATCGGGTTTATGGTTCGTAAACATTCAATTTTTGAAAATCAAGTCTCAAAACTGAAAACCTAAAGAATACAAAGCTATAACTTTTTTCGTGGTATCTTGAGTGCTCTTATATTCCAGTATACTATAACCCATTATGATATCTAATGCTTGACCAACAATGATGGTTA